CTATCCCTCCCCTCCAGTGTATCTACCACTCCTCCCAGTTTAGTATCATCCGCAAATTTGCTGAGAGTGCAATCCACACCACTCTCCAGATCATTTATGAAGATATTGAACAAAACCGGCCCCAGGACCGACCCTTGGGGCACTCCACTTGATACCAGCTGCCAACTAGACATGGAGCCATTGATCACTACCCGTTGAGCCCGACAATCTAGCCAGCTTTCTACCCACCTTATAGTGCATTCATCCAGCCCATACTTCCTTAACTTGCTGACAAGAATACTGTGGGATAGCTTGATAGCTATCAATTTCTTGATAGCTCTTTCCCCGGTGTCCCCTATGTCAATTTCTTGATAGCTGTTGAGCTAGTGAAGGTCTAGGAGGCTTTCAGAATTAAGAAACAACAGGAAGAGAACTCCTTACCCCTTAGATTTTGTTGAACCTCTTCCACGGCTACCACCCGAAGGAAATCTCCTGGGCCAAAGACTGTGAGAGGGATCCCTGAAGAGGGACAGGGAGGAAGGCTGGGGACGAGGGGTGAAAATGAACTGTCAAGTATTTCCACTGTGATCAGCACCCAAACATTGCGTAGTGGTACAGAACCATGAACAGATGAAGCAGGACAGGCGGTCCACAAATACAGGGTAAACCGGATCCGGAAACACAGGGACTGGTATAATGTCCTCGAGCATCCCACCAAAAGGCCGGCTTGGAATCTCCTGGGTGTGGCAGACAGTGATGCTGAGATAGCAGGGGGTGGTGGTCTATACGTAAAGCTCCCGCTCCTTTTCTTCTGTGGGTCTTGACGGGCCGGTGGGTCAGAGTTCCTGGAGGACTGTTGAGATTTGTAGTGCTTCCTTGAAGTTGATGGCATAAACAATCCCAGGGACATAAGGGTCGCCCTGGAGTCCTTCAGTCCATGAAGCTTCGCACCAGTCTGCCCTGAAAAGAGTGAAGCTTCCTTGAAGGGGAGATCCTGGAGGATTTGCGCAACTCCTACGCATGGCGACTGTGGAAGCCATGGACCTGGCTGCTGAATCTGCTGCATCCAGGGCAGCTTGCACGGAAACCTTCGCTATAGATTTCTCCTTATCCACGAGCGAGAACTCCAGCCTCACCTCTTGCAAAACCAAGTCTTTGAACTTCAACATGGAGTCCCACATGTTCAACAAATCATATCAGCCGAGCAGCATCTGCTGGTTAGCGATCTTGAGCTGCAGACACCTGGTAGAGTAGACCTTTTTACTGAATAAGTCCAGCTTTTTGGAGTCCTTTGCTTTAGGTACCACACCTTGCAAACCCTGCCTTTCCCTTTTATTGGCAGCAGAAAACACTTGTGATTGGGGGAGTGGGGTGGGTGGAATGAAGATAGAGAAACGCATAATCCTGGGCAGGAACAAAGAATTTCCTCTTGGCTCTCTTTGAGGTGTAGGGAAGGGAAGTGGGGATTTGCCACAGGTTTTCACAGGGTCTATGATGGCCTCATTGAGAGGCAGGACTACCTTTTGACGGGCTCATCATGGCCAGAATGTCGCCCAGACTATGGGAGGACTCTTCTACTACTTCCACCTGCATGCCCATATTTTGGGCCACCCTCTGTAGCAACTCCTGGTAGGCCTGATAGGGAGGCAACACCCCTGCTCTTGACACAGCCTCATCATCACCTGAGGGTACTTCTTTTCCCTTTCTGTGCCGACTGGATCCCATGGAGCTGACTGGAGTCTGGATGGGGTGTTGCCTGATGGGGTGGTGGAACCCTTCTCTTGGGGGCCACCGAACAGGACTGCCTCAAGTGGAGTCCTGGGTTTGGTAGAAACCCTCATGGGCTCCAAAAGAGCCATTCCATTGCCATAGGTGCCTCAGTGACCACTAGGCCAAGCACTCAATGGCCCACCTGTGCCCCAATTCAGGGCAGGGTAGGGATCACTGGAGGAGTGGCGGGGTCAACTCCTTGGATGAGAGGTGTCTGACCCAACCTCCAACTCCAAAGACAAGGAGTCTCCATCTGGTGACCACAGAGGAGCAGTTCCCACCAGTGATGGAGATCGGTGCTGAGGCAGGGAAGGCTGCGTTGCGGCCAGCATGGTTGGTTTCTCCTTGGACGGTACCGCAGGGACCAGTACCGGACGGTAACTGGGGGCACCTGCTCTCTCCTTCCCACTGGAACCAATACCACCAACGCCTGTACTGCCAGTGACACCAGTACGGACAGCAATAGCAGGTCCCTGGTGGCAGCAAACACCTCCAGTGTGGACAGCATCACAATAGCGCTGGTACCACACTGGGTGCCGATGGTTCATCCAGAACCAGACGCAATGGTGTTTACTGCTGCAATGCTGAGGCAGAGGAGTGGCTTGACTTAGGTTGCATTCTGCTTTGCTCCCCATGCCTGGCTTTCTTTGGTGTTGGGGAACGTCCCCTCTCAGCTGGCTGCTTTTTATGCCTCTTCTTTGGCACCAAGGATGGCGAACGGTGCTGGGACTCTCACATGGTTGGAGGAGCACTCCTCACTGACGCCGAGGTGCTCAGTGCTGAGTCCAACTGGCTCGGCTCGGAGGAAGGTCTCAGCGCTGCCTCCATAAGTAGGAACTTGAACCTGGCCTCCTAGTCCTCCTTCATATGGTGTTTAATGTCCCTGCAAATCTGACAGCGATCCCCGAAGTGAGCCTCACCCAAGCACTTCAAGCAACTGGAGTGCAGGTCGCTCAGGGGCAGAGCTTTGATGCAGAAGGTACAGGGCTTGAAGCCCGGTGACCGAGGCATGCCTTGGCACCGAGCATGGAAAAAACTCTAACAGAAAGAGAAAAACAAACTATACTAATGAAGACCAATTAATTATTTATAACTATTAATTATACACAACTATCAGAAAAATAAAGATGACTGAGAAAGCTTGCCATAGCAAAAAGAACAGTTTCAGAGACCATCCCAGGTAGTAAGAAGGAACTGAGGAGTCATCTGGGCCCCTTTACACTGGCGCTATGACTGTGCAGCACGAGAAAGCGCCTGAGCCTCCCAGGCAGGTCCCACTGAGGGAAAAATCTGCAGTGACTGTGATAGAGGTGCACATACCTACAGTTGAAGGGACATGTGCAAGCGCTTGAAGCAACCGAATTTTGGCCAGTAATTGTGGCATACATTTTAATTTCTTCAGTAATCTTCAAAAAGTTTCATTTAGTATGTCTGATAATTGGTGGGATATGCACAACTTATTTACACAACTCCCGTCAATGTTAATAAAATCATGGTGCAGTCAATAGATGGCAGTGAAGAAGCTTATGTATTTTTAAAATCTATCAATATTACCATTTATAAGCCCACACCCATCTACATCTAACTTTGGTGCTGTACATGTTCCTTGCATCATTGTATTATAGTACTCTGAAGTCAGAACTGTTACTCCACTACTATTAGAAAAATGTTTACTGAGCAGTGAGAGAGTTTGCGGAGACACTATGTATTATATTTGAATGTAATTCCACCAATATTGAGGTATAATGCATCTTTTCTTGAATTTGGGTGACAGCTTTGTGTCCTTTACCTAGATTTAAGTCTCATTTGCATAATGTGACAGGATCCTCGGACATGCTGAAGAGCCCTGCAGACGAGGAACTAAGGGTGTTCAGCATGTTGCAGCATTGTGCTCAACATGCCTGCCCACTCTGCAGGTCAAAGAATAAAGAATGGATGTTTGAAAATTTGTTCTTTCTTGCTCCTTGTTATTCTTCCTCTCATTTTGCATTCAACTGTTTTCAGGAAAAAAATGGAAGGACAGTATGGCATAAGTAATTTATGTCAATACATCTTACAATATTTTGCTTCTAAGTTTCATTTAAAAATGTGGATGTCAAGAGATTGAGAACCAGATCCTCTGTTGGTATAAGTCACTGAAGCTCCACTGGCTTCAGTCAACCCACACTAATTTATACCAGCGAGGATCTGACAACCCAAAGTTTTCTGTATATTAATATTCAGGAACCAAAAAATGAATGTTACTGTGATTCTTTGCTTTACTCTCTATCCTATTATATTTCTGATAATCTTCAATAAAAATAAAAGATAGCTATGTTTTTTTTATTTACCTTAGTACCTTACAAGGAGACATTGTTTATTGTGTTAATTCTTATACACTTCTAAGTGGGTGGTTGTATTTTTTTTTGTTTAAAAGCCTATTAAAGAGGCCTCGCTGGCTCAAGTTGACTGATACAGAGCTTAGATCCAGATCGGTAGCAAAATGCCAGTAGCACCAGTTGCCTGCTTTATTGTCTAAATGAAATGAATTGGTAGTTTCAGTTCACTGGATTTGGGTGGGGGTCAACATCACAACTTGGCATTAATTGACACATTCTGGGCAGTCTCAGCAAAGGCACCAAACGCTGACTAGGAACAGATACTGGACAACCCTCTCATACTACGTGGTCCCTCAAAAATAGGGTTGAGGTGCACTGCTAGGGCAGTGGGGTGAAATTTGCACTGCCACTGCCTGTGCTGTACCTGTTCTGTGGACAAATAGAGGCCTTCAGTTTCCAGTGCTGTCAATCTGGCACCTTTCACGAGCACTACATTCACTTTAAAGAAAAAAAACTACAGTTAAAAAATACAAAGGAAACAAAAATCTGAATTTAAGTAACTCAGGCAGTGACACAAATTGATATAAACAAGGCATTTCTAAATTAAGGCTAACATTCTGCCAATGAGACTTCACTTCAATATGGACTTGCTCTTGTTGGTTTGTGTCACAACCCTAAAGTTACTTAAAATGGAACAAAGGCCAAGTAGGTGAGATCCCAGATTTCACATATCTTTGAAGCTGCATAGTCTCATTCTCATTATACCTCTGATTTGTGCATTCACCAATTATGTCTGTTCTGAATTCAACTGCATTTTAGAAAGCTATTCATATTGTAGATCCCATACCAAGTTTGCTCCCCATGACCTCAGGATTGCTAACTGAAAATTCAGATAACTCTTTAGTTCTTGCTTGTAACCAAAAACGAAAATACCTGTAATTGACCATTTAGTGAGCTCAAGTCTTCTGCTTTCTTCTCCAATGACTGCACCCACACTTTTCTTTTTTGTCGACATCTTGAAGCAGCAGCACGGTTTCGCTCTAGAAACTTCCTTCTTTTCTCATCAGGGTCTTCGTTTGCTGCTCTTCTTCGACGACCCCCTGTATTTTGGGTTTGGGGTGTGGGCTGAGCTGGGGAAGCCTGAAGGAAACAGGAACATCATAGTTCAGTGTAACATAACATGTAACTCAAATGTAAGGGTTTGACTTACATGTATAAATGTACACATATTTACATAGGAAAACATCAACAATATTTCTCTAATATTTAAAATATATTTTTTGACTAAAGGAAACATTAGATATACATCTTAATTCTATGAATACTGTCTAATGGTTTTCATTGTGATTTTGCTCACTAGTGCACTACATTTAAGGTTCTGTCAGTATTTTAATCATAACCCACTGGTTTCCAGATTTGTAATCTTGCTGCAAAAATTCATTCCATTTTGATACTTAGCATAAAAGCAAGCCTGAAAGAAATAACTTTTTAGATTTTTTTTTCAAACATTCTTTTACCCATTTTAAAGTTACAGGAAGACAAAATATTTACAGGGTTTAACTTTTAAAAGACCCTTTAACTAAAAATGACTTTGTAAAATGAAATTTATCAGGCAATAACTTCATATAGTTTCTGTTTCTGGTGTTTTCCAAACACCTATCTTCCTAAAACTTAACTATACTTTGGTTGTTATTATGTAATTATTGCCCAATATATAATAACTGCTCATCACAAGGATCTGGACAAAGCATTGGTATTTACTGATCCCTAGAAGAGTAATTTCTTACCTGTTATTTCTGGCTTTTCCAAGTCCCTCTATGCCAGCCCAGACATGGATAGGATCAAAGTAGTTAGAAATGAAAATGTCCTATTAAATCATACAGCCCACCCTCTACATGGGCAGAATATAGTCCCCAATAAAAGGACTATTGCATTATAGCTATACAACCTCGGATTTTCAAGTCTTATCAGCTGATAAGGAGGATAAAATTGCACCTTGAATTAACTCTCCTCATAAAGGGACCTGGCTGACTCTGCATGCTCAATACTTGTTATGCAAAAAGTAATAATAAATAAAAATAAAAATCAAAGTACCAATCCTAACTGCCACAGCTCATAATATGAAATGTAGACTGGTATAAAGGGACTTTGAGATGTTAAATTAACAGTTAGGAATTGACCATTTGCAAATATTTCTTACTGATTAGACACTGAGAACTTTCACAGTAGTATTCATTAACCAGATTATACACAGGGTATGTATACCTAGAAGAAAAATTGTGACCAAGTGTTTTTTAAAAAAAAAAAAAAAAAAAAAAAAGATCTGCCTTCTCAGGGCAGCATCTGCAGAGATTGTCACATCAAGATTAACAACATAAAAAGTAGAGGACAACACTGACGTGGCGACATTACACAGTCTCAATCCAAGAGTAGACATTGCTCTTCTGGATGGACTCAGTAAGAAGAGCCTCTTTACCCTGGGCAGCATGCACTTGCTTAACCTAGCCCCAAAACCAGAAGGGGACACGATTTTTTAAAAGGGACGTCTGACGTTCAGTGTTTGAATGGCCTGATTTTCAAAAATGCTGAGCACCCACCACCTCCCATTGCCTTTAATGGGTGCTCAGCACTTTTGTAAATCAGACTTCTTCTTTAGGTGCCTAGATATGAATGTACACGTCCATTTTTGGAAGTCTTGGCCAAGATACCTAAACTTTAAAAGCTGTGATGCCTTTTTTGGTACTTCACAAAAGAACAAACAGGGGATCTGTTTTTCTAATTTTCAAAGTTCTCTGCATATAGGAAGTGCAAAGCTTGTTCTATAGTATGTATGAAAGTATGTCCCTCAGTCAGTTTCACCAGGCCTGACAGAACAAGGGGAGAACAACTTCCTGACCGAACACACACACAAATTATTTTCAACTGTCTCCTTTTGCACCAAACAATTGTGACGAAAAATTTTAAACACATCTTACTGCTTGATTGTATTGACAGCATTTACACCTCCTATTAATGAGCCTGTTACTGGTTATAGGCACAAAGAGAGAGAAGGTTAAGAATCCTTTTAAATTTTGACCCTTAGTTACTATCTTGATCTGATGAAAAAACTGGTAAGGATAGAGGGAGCTTCATCCTCAATTTTCTGGACAAGCAGATGGCCATTATTAAGACAACATTATGGTTAGAAATCTTCCTAAAGCACTCCACAGAAGCTCTTTTCAAATCCCTGAGAAGATTTTCATGATAAAGTTGAAATCCCATGCAACTATGACAAAGTCTTTGTTTTTGTTTCTCAGCTGCTCTAAAAACCGAACATCACCTCACCTCTAAAAGGAGAACCCTAGAGGAATACTCTAGCTTGATTCTTAAGGCCCTACCAATTGCTTTATAAATCCTGAAGGGAGTCTATCTTCAGGTCTTTATTTTGAACATCCTTAAAAAGACTAGCATGTGATGTTACTGTTCAAGAGATCCACTACCATGTGAGAGAGTTCCAGCTGGGTACTACAGAGCCAAAGTAGTATCCACAGGTATCAGAGAAGAGAGACGCTATACATCTTTTCTTTGAAAGTCTAACTCTAAAAGCTAGAGCTTGCCAACACAGGAGCAATGATATTTGAGAATAAGTATTTCATACCAGCTTTTCCACTGGCAGAAATTCTACAGCTGGGAAAACTGACAGGAGAGAGATACAGATCATCTGATTTTAAGGACACTGGCTAGGGGAAAGAAAGAACTCCTGAATAGACAAAGTGACCAATTGCTGACAACCTCTGTCTACAAAACGTCGTTTTCCTCGTGTACATTAATACCTACAATGGAAAGTTACCATCTGAAATACACTCACTAAAGCATTGCTTCCTTCATGTTTGTCTCTTTCTCCCCCCACAAAAGGGGTGTGTGGTTCTCTTTTAACTGTGCTACTTAGTAAGACTGGATTTTCTAGAGAAAGAGCTTTCCAGACAGGCTCCTCTGACCAGATGAAAGCAAGTCAACATCACACCTCTGAGGTAAAAACTGTAGCTTCTGAAGCCTTCTCCGAGAATCAAGAGGACCAGACCTCTCCCCAACTCCCAATTGCACACCTATTCCCCTTCTCCAACCTAGCTCATTGTTCCCACCCATTTTCATCCTATTCCTAGTCATCATCTAGGATAGTTCTCCCAACATCACCATTTTCACAACACCCAAGAGAGCACAGTAAACTAACTAAATTATGCAGCTGAGTCTCTCATTTTTATATCAGTCAATAACGGCTCTTTCAAGCAAATGGTACCTTAAGCAGGAACCCGAAATGATTGAAAAAATATTTTAAGAGGTGTTCATGATATTCAATATTAAACTAATACAATACCATGGTAACCCTTGTTTTGGTGATATTTTCCAGATGTATCTTAACTTGCTGCACAATTTTCAGTTTACCCCAGAATTCAACGCCAGTGTGCTAAGGAAATCAGGAGGCCTTTAGCTTCTTATCAAGTAGGTAAGACAACCCCCATTTTTTTCCAATATTGGTTCATACCACACCTCAATCTTATTTTCAATATATAAAATAAAGGAAAGAGGATCAGAGATTTTTGCATAACAGTAAAAGGTTAGAAGTACATCTTGGCTTTGTTGTCATACCGGTGTTTCTGTAGTTGATGTAGCAGGCTGTTGTAATGACTGTGGTCGGGCTTCCTCTGACTGAGTCCTAATCAATCCACTAGCATGCCCCTTGGCAGTATCTCCATTTGTGACCTGAGGATGCTGCTGAGTCAAGGCAGCTTTCAATCGCTGAAAGTATAGAAAGAAAATATTCTGTCACATTTTTCATAATGGAAGATACTGTGATAACTTTCATTAAATAATAGCTATTTATATAGCAGTAGCACCCATATACTGCTAGCTACTTTCCAAACATACACAATGAGCTCACATTTTAAGGTAAGAAACACACACAGGGTGCAAAAGGATAAAACAATGTTTTGATGTTTCAACAATCTAATTGGCCTTCTACTAGTTGAAAATTTCTTGCAACCATCACTGTAGAAGTGAGTAGTGAAAAGGAATACAAAGAAGGGTAACGGCTTTATGAACAAGTTTAGGAAGGGCATTCCTTCTACAGAGCATCATATGGAAGAAAATGCACAGAACAGTGTAGGAGAAGCAGGGTGGCGAAAAATCAATGATTTTAAAAATAAATAAATACATAAAAAAATCAGATTTTGATAAAATGTTTTTTGAGGAAAAAAGCTATCTAAATATAGTTTTAATTAAGATATCGTTGAGCTATAATGTATTTCATCATGGAATAGGGATTATAAATTCTAATTCTATAGTATGAGACAATATATTCATGTAATGTTTAAGAAAAGTTTTGTAAATAAGTTCCAATAGTTCATGGATTAGGGACCCAATCTTATGGGGTTCCACAGGCTTCTGTATAAATTATTTAGGTTAATCTTTCTATCTATCCAATGGGACTCAGTGCTCAGTCTAGAAGAGACCATTAGAGATGCTTAGTTTTGCAGTTCTCAAACTGTGGATGTGTGTCTCCAGAGGTAACATGCTTGTTAACAGCAAAAATGTTTTAAAGTAAGTAAATAAATAAATAGAGGTGAGAAACAACGGACCTCAACTCTATTGTCCCTCTGCAAATTTATGTACGCAGATTCAATCCCTTACTTCACTCTAAAAGTGCAAAGTTTCAAAAAGTTCAATGAATAGACGACTGTTGGGGGCGGAATAGAGCTGAACAAGGAGAAGAAGTCTGGAGATAAATGTGAGAAGTGAGGGACAAATGCTTTTTTGTTAAAATATTCTAGGTTTGCTGTTGAAGAAAAAATCCAGAATACTTAACTTTGTTGTTTTAGTTAAATAAAACAATTTAAATGTCTTCTTCTCCGAATACAGCATGGCAAGAAAATCCTCCAAATATTAATGATTAACCTGCCGAATTGGAGATAGTTCACTTCCCAATGACTTCATAAATATCTGCTTCAATTACCTTTGGTAAATGAAATAACCAAACAATCATTCATTTTCTGATATAGCTGTAAAACTAATCTGAAAAAGTTTTCAAAATATATCTGTTTAAAAATGTATAGTGTATACCTTCTAAAAATGAAATCTACATCTATCTCTGAGTTGTGAAGAATATGTATTAAGGTTATAACAACCAACAAGAATGCACTTTTATGAAGAAAACCATGATTAAATTGAGTGTTCCTGACTAGTGATTTAAATCATGATTTAAATCAATTTGATTTAAATCAAATCCACCCTGCAGAGAAGTGAACTAATACCAATGATGGAGTGGAGTGGACAGTGTACAATGTGATAGAGAAACAAGAGTGGATAAATACACAGAGACAGTAAACCCAGACACAGGAAATTTCTTTCCAAACCAAATTAAAAAACATCTGGGTGGGTTTATAGTTTGTTTTTTTAAATCATATTCTTTATTCTAAGATGATATCTTGATGATGTATTAAATGATTGACATTATTTCACTCAGATGTGAGCATTAACTAATGTTTACATAGTGCATGGGCTAAATATTTTCAACAATGGATAACAAAAGCTTTTATTAGCTGATTTATTAAGCAACACAATTACAAAAAATAGTAATTACAAACTGTATCTGTATACAATATATTTCAAGAGCCACAGATGATTTTATATATTAACTATATGCTATATTCTAAAACAGATCTCATTGACTGTACTAGTCTATTTGATAATTAAGTTTACAACCGCTTGAAAATAAAAGCTATGCTTTCACTATAAACATGAATTAGAATTACAGCAGATTTTCAACAAAAGCTAATGTATTCTGTTTACAAGTTTATATGCCTAATGTGGTGTAAGGACATAAGAACATAAAAACGGCCATACCGGGTCAGACCAAAGGGGCAGCTATTCCAGTATCCTGTCTTCAGACACTGGCCAACACCAGGTTCCCCAGAGGGAATGAACAGAACAGGTAGTCATCAAGTGATCCATTCCGTCGCTCATTCCCAGCATCTAGCAAACAGAAGCTAGGGACACCATCCCTGCTCATCCTGGCTAATGGGCATTGATGGACCTATCCTCCATGAACTTATCTAGTTCTTTTTTGAACCATGTTATAGTCTTGGCCTTCACCTCATCTGGCAAAGAGTTCCACAGGTTGACTGTGCATTCTGTGAAAAAATACTTCATTTTATTTGTTTTAAACCTACTGCCTATTGATTTCATTTGGTGACCCCCAATTCTTGCGTTATGAGGAGTAAAAAACCACTTCCTTATTTACTTTCTCCACACCAGTCATGATTTTACAGACCTCAATCATATCCTCCCTTAGTCATCTCTTTTCCAAGCTGAAAAGTCCCAGTCTTATTAATCTCTCCTCATACGGAAGACGCTCCATTCACCTAATCATTTTTGTTGCCCTTTTCTGAACCTTTTCCAATTCCAGTATATCTTTTTTCAGATGGGGCGACCACATCGGCACATACCATGGTGTACCATGGATTTATATAGAGGCAATATGATATTTTCTGTCTCTCTCTTTCTTAATAAAAACACAGACGTAGGTATCCTCAATGATTATATTAATAGGTTTGTTTTATTTTCAAAATTTTGCACTCCCACAGTAAGATTTTATTCAGTGTTATCAAACAATTTCCCTGCAAGATAAATTGTGCATGAGGTTGCATCTTTCTAATGATCAGTACTGTACTTAAAACCATCAACTTCATTAAAAACGACATTAGTATACTTTTACAACAAATTAAAAGATTTTTTTATTACATGACGGTCTAAAATACATTAAAATGCACATCTCTCGAATAATCTTTATTATTGCACATTGTTACCTTCTGCACAAACATAAAAGAAAAAACATCAATATTTATTATCCTTTTTTGAATGCCACCAGGCTTAGTGTAAATTCAGCTCTCCCGTGTACCATAGACAAAAGTGCACAAAAAAGGAGGTCATTAATTCAAAAAAGGCAAAATGCAGATATATTGATGAGTAAGGCAGAAGCACTCCCTGCTCCTCACCCCGGGAAGCCCTGGAAGATACTAGGAAGAACAGTAGAAAATAGGCCTGCCACCTTTCTCTGAATACAAGACTCCCCACTACCCATAGGAGGAAGACCACAGATTGATTCCCAACAGGGCTTTACCTAAGGGAAGCTGTGGGGACAGATGGAGACTCATATAGATGCCTCTACAGGTCTGGATAAGCATCCGAACATGTAGATGCTCAGCTATAATCCAAATCTTACGAAGCGCTAAATTGAGATATTTGTGTTTAAATAGCCTAAAATTCACATTCAGCCCTACAACACCTGGAGACTATTTGGAGTTTGATAAGATATTACAAGCATAACTGGCAGTGATGCCCATTGTAAAGGTTACTTAGCACTTTCCATTATAAGTCCCCCGCTTTCAGTTGCTTATAAATTTTGTCTAACTTTAATCACTTGCACTGGAATTTTCCATGCTCTCTTTCTTTATTCTCAGACTGAATTTTTTTGGAAAAAGTTTTAGCAAGAGGTTTTGCTAAATCTGAGGCTGAAGAGTGACAAAAACTATTTTTTCCTATGATAAATTTTTCTTTCCAGGAATTTCTTTGAAGAGCTCTGGCACCTCCACACATTGGAGCATAAACTTGAAATTTGGCAAAGGGGATAGTCCTGATATCAAAGAGGTGTCTTTTGCTGTTTTCATAGAAGTCCATCCAGATCTGCACATACTCAGCAAAGGTTGTTGGAGGCTTACTGCTAAAAAGTCTCCAAGTATTCCATTCTGAACTGATATGCCCCAGAGCCACAGAATTCACTATATACCAACTGCACTAAGCATGCCCTCAGAACTGACACAGTCTGCTTCAGAGCTCGATATCTGAAGACAGGAGGCAATGGCAGGCATCCAAACTCTTGGCCTGCAAGAAGGTGTACTGGGGGCTGTGAGTCAAGCGGAGATGAAGTTCTAATCTCACATTTTCAGCTAAACGATGTTAATTCTGTGAACTTCAAAGCCATTATTGTTAAGCAAGGATTCATACCCTTCCCTACTTTAGGAGGCAGGAAAGGATCTTAATCCATTTTACTATTAAAGTAACAGCTTGGACAAAGCCACTTCTGTCAGAGCCGAGAACAGAACCCAAAGCTCTAAAATGGCAAGTCACATCAGTTGCTTTGCACAACAAATTATACTAAATCTATGTGCTTAGCTGTGGTGCTTGCCTAGATTAGGCTTGCCTTCAGAGCTAGGAATAGAATCCAGAACTCCTAACTCCCAACATTCCTCTGCTATCCTGAAACTAGTTGTGCAAGCCACTGACACAGTGTCTGTAGTAAAATGTCCCCCTTCGTTGACTGGTCCACATAGACAATAACAGCCTACTATCACAATTAGTTATTGCTTTAATTCACGTGTATTCTTATATAAAACGTTAAGGGCACCTAGAATATTGTATGGGCACTCTTATTACAGTGCATAAATCTTAACTAAGTGGTCGAGGTCTAGGCTATCCCTCTAGAATCTAGTCTTGGATTCCTGGTGATAACCCATGCTGTGGAACAATATGGGTTCACCTGATAGCTTCTTTAAAAAAACTGAAAAAAAATTCTGTGAAACTTTTCACCAGAATGTTAAAGGTTCAAAAGTCACTCATAATTTAAAGAAATACAACCTTAATGCACCCCCCTTGTGCATGTTTTATGAGAGTTGGCCAGGAATTTTGGAAGCAGGGTTTTGCTGGAAAATGCCAAGTCATCTAATCTGAAATGTTTTGCAGAA